TTTTTTTTTTTTTTTTTTTTTTTTTTTTTTTTTTTTGTGCTGCCAAATGGACACCTTATCTTTTATAAGATCGTGTCAACCATACCTGAGAAAAGCGAAAATGTAACACGGACAAGTAGCACACCTGCCGGGATACTTTCCGAAACGGGATCCGTAGCCATTTTATAATAAAAGCTTCAAAAGGCCACAACGACAGTGGTAATGCTTACAGTAACGGTAGCAGTAATAGTAATGGCAATACCCAAACAGAGGGAAAACGCACACTGATATGGAGCCAATGCAGCCAATGCAGCCAATGCAACAAACGCAGCCACACCCGCAACGCAGTTACAAATACGGCTCAACGCGCCAAATTAACCCTATCTCCAAATCGATGTGTTCACGATTAATTCATATCTTACATAAATATTCAAGTGCAACGTAGTATTTTTTTTTTGTTCGTGCGCGTGGATAAATCATTTTTTCTTTTTTCAACAACGTTCTTTGTTTGTTTTTCATTGTACATATATGTGTAAAATCATGTGCGCTATCACGTACAAGTGTCAATATAAATATAATTATTAATATAAACATAATACAATTAAGTATACTATACTTCCCCCCTTGTATAGTCCCCAACAACATTTCTTCCTACACCTCCACACCACACACACTAAAAAGAAAAAAAACATTCCAAATATATAAGTTATGGTTATATATATAATTACTTTTCATACTAATCACAACACTGCTTCGGTAAACGCATGAATTATGGGAATAATTTCGTACCCTTTTTCGAACTTTAAATATATTTGTACCAGGAGACATCCGAATATTGCAAAATGTATCTTGCCTCCCTTATGTGCAGACAAAAAAAAAAAAAAAAACAGTGTGCACAATTATCGAGTTTGCCCTTTTACGCATCATGTATCTTTGTACCGTTATAATCAGCACGAATGAAAAATAACGAATCAGCTATATTAATGGGGACTCTTTTTTGTTGTGCCATATGTTTGAAAAAAATAAGCCTACCATATGGATTAAGCTTCACCCCACAATGGTTTCCATTCATGCCCTTCATGATCAAATCGGCATATATATATATACAGAACCTCACCTCCGCCACTTTCTGTTATGCGTGCCTCTTTTACAATTGGGCATCATTCACCATCCACCAACCGAAACGCATGCTAAAACACATTTAACCTAATTTTTCCTTTTCCTATAAATATTGGTAAATATATATAGTGCACATATATATATAATGTCTCCCCATTACCAGTAGACAATTTTTCTTAATACTTAAGCAATGTAGATAAGGAAAATGCCACAACGCGCTAAGCACTGCGAAGAGGAAGAAAAAGGAACCATACTTTTATAAACCCTATACCTTACCTCATACAGAGGGGCACAAAATATTGCTTCACCCTTCTAATATTAATCACAACATAACGAACTGCACTTTGTAACGTCTTATAAAGTGTGCTCATTTTTTAAAAAATGCACCTCCCGATCATCATATACATGTCCCGCAATACACCCCTCCATGCTTCCTTCATACACCCCCTACGTATATATTTCCAATTATATGCCTCCAATTCCTTTCACACTTTCCTAATACTTTTCCACATTTGGCCTATTTCCCCCTTTGCGCTAGAATGAATTTTTCTAAAATCTCCCCGTGTTTACACTCAATTGGGCAAAACCCAAATTTCCACTACAGCTACGGCTAAGGATGCATATGTACATATATCCTATGTCCGTAAATTCTCTGCCTTCTTTTCAGCGAACACATGAACAAGCTGATCAGCTTTTTTGCGCACAAAAGGTTTCTCTTCCTCACTTGCACAGTTCGCAAAAAATACTAAAATAAAGAAAAAAAAAACACATACAACATAATAAGGTAAAAAATGCCTTAAATTGGTACAGGCTTCGGGATCATTAAAAAAAAAAAAAAAAAAAAAAAACTCTCACGAATCAGACTATTTTTCTTCCAACAACATTACTTTTATAGGAAAAATAAATATAAGAGGAACAAGGAAAAATAAATAATAATACTAAAAAAAAACGGGTCCAAAATTTTTTATGCTCTATTTTGCTATCCTATAAAAGTTCACGGCACATGGGAAAGGCCTTTTTTTTTTCTCTCACTTTTAACAATAATATTTCAGTGCAATGTTATTGCCTAGTTCGGGGTATTGACTCAAAAAAAGCGATACATGCACCAACTGGTTCAAAGTTAAAGGTAGGTCGTTTTATATATATATGTATATAAATCAACGGTATAAAAATACATATTTTTAACAAGCGTTTTCCTTAGTTTCATTCTTTTTTTTTTTGAATAAATTTGTGAAAAACAGGTGCTCCATAGGGCCACTTCAAAAGAATTAATATTATATAAATTAATGTACCTGTCATGCGCGTTGTGAAAAATAGGAGAATGCCGAACTGCATATTGTAAGCAGCTACCAAATTATCATTTTTTTTTTTTTTTTTTTTTTTTGTTTCCTTTTTTTCCAATGCTTGTTGTATAAGCCTCCTTTGTTATATTTATTATTCGTATGGATCAATTGGGGGAAGCCGTAGGGGGGGAAACGGTAAAAAAAATAAGCCATATTAGAATTGAAGGACGGACCCATCAGCTGATTTGCTAACTTGTTTGCATCTATACATATATATGCGTTAATTTCTTTTAAGGCACATTTTTCCAACAATCTAACCACTGCTTGGTTATTCAACTTTTTAGCGGTTACTTCCCGTGCACCTTATGCATTTGCATACGTTATACATTTTTGCTTTGCACCCTCCTGGAAATTTCATAAAACAGAATATATACGAGTTTTATACTCTTCTTTTTTTTCTTCCTTTCACGTTACTTATTCTCCGCTTCCCTCTCGATCTGTCCCCTCCTTCTATTTTGTCGCTCCAGCAGTTTGTCCGTGCGTACTACCCCCATAGCATTGCGCATTGGACCTGCTTCATAAATAGAATCAAAATGGGATGCAGGAGGGAACAAAAGTGAGTCACTTGGACCTAGCAAGCATCACAAATTTCTACGCTTCGCCCTTTCCCCCCCCCCAAGTTGATATCTTTGTCTGTATCGGACTTGGAAAGGGAAAAATAGCAATTCGCCAAAACCACACAAAACGGTGCAAAAAACCCACTAAAAGAGAGAGTGAAACATAAGAAGCAAGACAAAATGGAACTACAGCCACTTAAAAGTCTTAGTGCCCCCCTAACCAACATCGCGTCAAGGTTAAATGTACAGGGGTTGAAGCAAATGTTACCAGAGCTTAACGACGATTTGTACATGAAAATTTTTTACATGGTCGCTTTCATGTTCACGTGTTATATGCTGCTTTATTTAAGTTATAACCAGGTAAGGCCTACAAATGGCGCCACAATTTCCCTTCGCTGGAATCATAATGTGTGAACTGTACTAAAAAAGGAGAATGCGTGGTAGAGCTAAAAGAGTGACCTGAACACACCTTTACTCTATATCTGTCCCCTGACCCTCACCTACATTCCATTCCACACGATTTCATGCTCTTACCGCCCCCTTTTTTTTTCCCCCTTTTTTTTTCCCCTTTTTTTTTTCCCCCCAGTCCCTTAATAAGAAAACGAGGAGCAAATATGACTCCATGGGAGAGGTTTACTTCGACCAGAAGCTAATAAAAAGATCGGAGGACATAAAAAATCAAGCGTGGAAAAATTGGATGACGCGCTTAGGAACAGATTGGAAGCATTTTCACAACTCTATAAAAATTAAAAAAGAAAAATGGCTCGAAGGAAAAGTAAACTGTTGGGATGAATGGCTCAAACAACTACAACACAAATGGAATCACTACAATGAACACATTGACATTTCATACAAATTTTATATACTTAAAAAGTCCCTTGCATGGAATGAGTCACACTGGGAACACTGGGCAAACGAAGAGCTAAAACATTTTATTGAAAAAGAATGGAACAACTGGGTGCAGCAAAGTGAAGACGATTTAAATACCTGGGTTATGAATGAATGGACTGAATGGAAAGACAATAAAATTTCCAGCTGGTTTTCTAAAAACTGGAAGCGCACTGAAAATGCATATTGGGCAAGAATGACCAAAAAAAAATGGGTCAAGTCCTTATTTAAAGTTGTCCGCAAAAATTGGCTCAAATGGCACGAACGAACTAATAGAGAGCTCCAGCAGTGGCAAGACTGGGTCATCGCAAAACAAGATTTATACATGAACAACCATGAATGGGATCCATGGATCAGATGGAAAATAAACAAGTACAAAATGCTCAAGGATATAAGAGAATCACTTGTCTCAAAATGGGTAGCGGAGAAGCAGTGGATGACCTGGATTGAGGAGAGGCACCATTTCATTATGCAAGAAAAGCAAAAAATGAACATTTGAGGAGACACGCGGAATAGCACCAAAACGGTCAACCGCATCGACAGCATCGCTTCCAACATTCTCGACATTCACTACTAACACCAGTTCTCATTAGTTCTCTGTTGCCAATCACATCGCTTCGCTTTTTTTTTTTATAGTGGGTTTTCTCCAGCTAATTATATTGTGCCCCCCCCTCAAGGGCTCTTCAAAATAGTGGATGGAATGCAAAAAAATGCCCCTTTCACATAACCGTCTCATGACTATCTTAACAGTGACGCGGCAGAGAGTGGAATTAACGCGGGGACACCTACTCCACACACGCACATGAGGGAACAGTAGCCAGTTTTTTTCGAATACCCCAAACGGATTAACATCACAAGAAACATCCCAAAGGTATGGTCTCCATTCCTCGTGCACGTACATGGCCCCAGTCAAACGAAGCACACACAGGGCCGCATTAAAACGAAGCACATACTATAAAAACACACCCCTTATGCCAAATGCAACATGTGCAGTGTTATTGAAACAGGACCAACAGGGACAGAACCTGTTTCATTAAGTTCCCTACGGACATGTTGCTTTCACAAAATTAATAAGACATGCTCTTCCTCTTTTGTGAACACGTCCGTTCTTTTAATATTCAAAACTTTTTGTAAAAATGTATTGGCCAAAATTACCTTTAGACCTATGGCTCTCATATCTGTCTGATTTTGTATCTTCTTCTAACCGCGCCAAACGATGCATTTGCTTACATGTAAGCACCTGCGCAGACGTACAACATACACACGTGTGTAATACCGTTCTTTTCACCCCAATTTGTTGTTGCAAATTCTTCAAAAAAAAATTTTTTCTTTTTTTTTTTTTTTTTTTTTTTGTGTCAAATTAAGTATAACATATATATATCATATGCATATAAATTCACTTCCTTCTTTCGCCCTTAAATTTTTCCCCCTTTTTACTGAAATTAACTGGACAATTACAAATTCTATGTCAATTATTTTTTTATATTTTTTTTTGCGCCATGCCGCTATCAACAATATTCAAGGCAAACATGTCCATCGCCTATTCGCACATATGCCATTTTACGTCTGGCGAAAAATATCCCCCAAAATAATCCTACCTCATTTGATATAGAAAAATATTTGTATTTTTTTTTTTTTTTTTTTCTTTGGAAAAGGTGCAAATGTGAAGGAGACAATATTGTTATGTATTGTTTCCCCCTCGGACTGGTCAATAATTTTGTTGCAAAAAGAAACCTGGGCACAATTGTGGTGTCTAGGGTTAGCAGCCTGTTCTGCAATTTTCGATTCTGCAAAAAGGGTTATAATGAAACATATGGGGGATAGAACAGAAATAATTGCCTATTCCATGTACTAAGCATAAATTCTTTTTTTTTTTTTTCCTATACTAGCCTATCCTTTTATGTGACATCCCTGTCTGTGAGGCGCTTCAAACACAATATTGTACGCCTCAAAATAGTTCACGATCACATACCTCTGTATGGATCTTTTTTTTTTCTTTACATAAATAATAGAACAGTGTGCACTCAAAAATTGTTATAAGACATGGTTCCACACCTGGTACAAACCATTAACTACAAAATGGATGCCACAAAAGACGGTATCCTCCGCCCTTTTAGATGCAACCCAGTGCCAACACTCGTGTGTTCTTATCATGTGGGTTGATAAATAATGCCACTGGAAGAACATGCACAATAACAATTCACACGGGTTCTATTTGTAGATATTTGAATAGCGACTACATTATGGTCCCTCGTAATGCTGCAAGGAATGCGGTCAAAGGAGTTCATAGGGAATGTAATATGCAATGTTTATAATCACCTGCGCGTGCCGTCCGTCCGTCTGTTTCCTTTTTTTTGCTCTAGTTTAATATTATTTTTTTTATGTATTTTTTAACCATCGCGAATCGCTGCTACCAGAACGAGGCAAGTATCTGCAACCAAAGTAGATAACGCACAAAAAAATTCAAAATTATTTGCATCTGTAATGTGGGAAGCGGTCATTTCACAGAAAGGATGTCCTTCGCAAGGGCAGTTCTAACGTTATTCTAAAAACCCCGTCCTTGCTTCGTCTTAGGCTGTGCAATAAAAATATTTACCCTGAACAATAAATTGCTGTAGGACGGATTTCGCAAAAAAAAAAAAAAAATATTCCTAAAACCGGTGCATGAGACCCATTTACAGTCCACAACCTACGCATATACCACTACTGTTCTAATTTTAATAACAATAAAATTATGCTGCTTTTTTTTTTTTTTTGTTTATTTTTTAATTACTAAAATCCCCTCCCTTAGCCTAATTGTTATACGTGATTTCCTGAGTCGTGCAATTTATCCTTTTTTTTTTTTTTTTTTTTTTTAAACTTCCCCCCTACATTTGTCACAATTTGAGGAAACACTGGGCCCCTATGGGTTCGTGCGCAGTTAATTATTAAGAACAAAGTTATTGTTTTTTATTTCTTTCATTTTGTATTTTATTTTTTCTTATATTTTTTTCTATATTTTTTTCTTTTATAAATGTCATATAATTTTTTATATTGTACTATACTGTATTATATTTTATTTTTCGTTTTTCTTTTTTTTTTTTTTGGTGCCCGGAGAGTTCCTCTAGGCGTCTAAGCAACTTTGATTCTTCCATTTTAAATGTAAGAGAAATATGGAAGAAGTTCCCGCAACAGCAGAAGGTATTATAGTTCCCGAAATAACAGAAGCTATTGCAGTTGCCGATATACCAGAACCTACTGCTGCGAATACATCCTTCCTCAAGGCACTTTTTGAAAAGTACAAGGATAGTCTAGTACCTAATGTTAACAAGGAGTTCGTCCTTCTTGGCACAAGTGTTGTAGTGCTCCTTTTATCCAGCTACATCTATTTAAATTACGTTAATACGGTAAGGGAAAAAAAAAAAAAAAAAAAAAAAAAAAAAAAAGTTGCACCAAAAATGTGATATTAGAATAAAGCACGTGTACACGCTGCTACCTGTTTGCTGTACTTTTCTGTTCTTTTTTTTGTTGCCCATCAAATTAGCCTAAACGAGAATGCACATGTCTCGACTCGTTCGCAGTGGTGCGCGTACAGGAAAAATACCCCCAACATTTCTGCTTGTTCCATAATACATGTCAACCCTATTGCCCTGCACCTGCACCTCCCCCCCACACAGCCCACCAAAAAAGAAGTGAAAAAGAAACAAGGTACCCCAAAAGAGACGAACAACAAAGAAGAAGAAAAGGAAAAGGAAAAGGAGAAAGAAAAGGAGAAAGAAAAGGAGAAAGAAAAGGAGAAAGAAAATGCAAAGTCGGATGAATGGAAAGCAAATGAGTGGAAACAATGGATGTCACAGTTAGACAAAGATGCTGACTTATTCACAACCTCTTTAGAACATAAACGAGAACAATGGCTAGTTCAAAGAGAACTAGAATGGGGAGAATGGATAAAATCAATGGAAGATAAATGGAATTGTTATAACCAAAATATGGGTTCAGAATACTACTCTGGTATTTATAAAAACACAGACCAGTGGACAGATGATGAATGGGAGTATTGGATAAACACAGAAGCAAAAGACCTTATGGAAATGGACTGGAATGAGTGGATGTCAGAGAGTGAATCCTATGTAGATGTAATGTTGGTCAAGGAATGGATTCAATGGAAAAATAATAAAATTATGGAGTGGATTATGAAAGACTGGAAATGCAAGGAAGACCAATATTGGGATGAGTGGGAAAAAAACAAATGGTCAAAATGGTTGTGTATTAATGAAAGGAGAAAATGGTCACAGTGGAAAGATCGACTCAGCAGAGAAACAGAACAATGGATCTCCTGGGTAGAAAAAAAAGAAAAACAATACCTTGATAATGAAGACAGAAAATTTTCTCAGTGGAAAAAAAACAATTACCTTTTGTTTAACAAGTGGATGGAATCATGTATAAACAAATGGATTAAGGAAAAGCGTTGGAAGAATAACTCCATGCAGACCACTAGCACGGAGCAACCAGCAACCATCTTCAACAGTTATTAGCCGCGTGAAGTTCTTTATACTTCCATGTTTGTACTTTGTAATTATTTGTTCAGCCTTATCACTGTATTTAATTTTTTTTACCTTTTTTTTATTTTATTTTTTTGTTTCGTGTATGTCATTGTCTTGTGTGACATGCGGACACTAGCGCTGCTGTGCGAAAACTGCCTATCTGCCCAGCTGCGCGAATGAACAGAAGCGATCAACAAGGTTAATCAAAGCACAAAATGAAAAAAAAATTCCAAAAAAGAAATCCTTTTTTTGTGTGATGTCAAATTGGGTGCTGTTGCCAGAAGACGGATATAAAATGTGTTCCATATGCTACAATATTACAAAACTGAAGCTCATGTGCCATTTGGTACAACTTATATAAAAAAAAAAAAAACAGCTATATTATGAATCATATTCGAGTATTTTCCTCAAGGGGCACAGTATCACAAGCACAATTTTTAAAGTACTCCTTGGGAACTCTCCTCACATTTTGCATTCATGTGGGCCTGTCCGTACGAGGCTTGTTTATACGCCATGTAATGTAGTTGACGGGAATCACTCTCCACAAACCACTATTGTTTTACCAAAATGGTATTCATAAGACGACATACAACAAAGTTTCAACTGATACTGTCAATTCTTCATTTTATTTTTTTTTTAATTTTTTTTTTTTTTTTTTTTTTTTTTTTTT